TATCGTAATAAAATCATGTTATTCCAATCATATTGTTCCAATGACTTATCATGTTGAAACCAATGTCATGTTAGAAAACGTGTGATTTTCTATTTTTTAACTAGTAACTTAGTATCATAAATTTATTATTTATTTGAAATTATATAGAGAGACATTTGAAAGACTTCTACAAAAAATAAATAAAAATAATGCTTATCATAATAAAATCATATTATTCCAATCATATTGTTCCAATGACTTATCATATTGAAACCAATGTCATGTTAGAAAACATGTGATTTCATGTAAGTGCCAAAGGTATGTAAAATACGTAGGAAATTGTGTGATGACTGTAAAAAGGTACAAGTTATTATTAGAAAATATTTTTAAAATACGGTGATGATGTTATTATTAGAAATCTTTTTGAAATGGTGTAATGATGATTTTAATTCAATATTTTAGTGGAATTTTACGACAAAAAAGAAAGAAATAATAATTCTGTATTTTAGTGGAATTTGTGTGACAAAAAAGAAATAAATGATAGTTTATAGGTATATGCTGGTAAAAGGTTGGTAATGCATTTCCTATATTTCTTCCAAACATAGCCAAGCAATAACAATGTATTTCTTAGATTGCATCTAAATACTACCCAAACAGCAACAATCCATTTACTAGTAATGTATTATACAATAATGTATTATGCCAGTAATATATTTCACATACAATATATTTCCTTCTAATTTATGTCATGTAATAGATTTCCAAGTACCCTAACCATCCCTAATAGTAAAGAAATGGAAAGAGAATACCTCATATTTTTAAAAAATCACTGAACCGATTACGGATGGTGAGAGGTGAAAAATCTATTAAATGAAAAATCTTTCGTGCGTCACTCTGCTTTATGCTTCTCCTATAACTATTTAAAAAAATGCCAATCCATCATTTTCCCTCTCAAACTTGTCTGAGTTACCAAAACGACTCTTCCCTTTCAAACTCGTCTGAGTAAGTTACCAAAGCGACGCTTCTCTCTAGACTGGTAAGCCTTATTCTCTCTCGACTGGTAAGCCTTATTCTTTTTCTTCTTGAGATTTGCATAGGTGCCCTCTCTCTAAGCCCGCCATCTCTCTTTTAAGCCCTAATTGAGTAGTAAGCCTTAATCTCTATCGATTGGTAAGCCTTATTCTCTTTTTTCTTGAGACATAATAACTTATGCATAGGTGCTCTCTCTCTAAACCACCCCCTCTGTTTTAAACCCTAATAACTTGTTTGTATACGATGATCCTCCTTCTCTAAGCACGCCCACTCTCTCTTGAGCCCTAATAACTAGTTATTTTGGTGTGGATAAATCATAGCTCTTTATTCTCTTCCAATGCCTCAAAATTTTCTATTGCAATAAACAAACCTTCCAGTTTACTAATCAAACTTCTTCCCATTTTTTAACTTGTACCATAAATATTTTGAATTTAGTATCATAAATTTATTGCTTATTTGAAATTATATA